AAGGGTAAATCAGCAGTGTCTGGAGCAGCCACATACTAACAGTTCCACTTCAAATCTGCATGTGAAAGAACTGTAAGTGGGCACACAACTAAGCAATAAAGACATGCACTATTTACACAGCATAGCTAATGCTTTTAATAAAACCTTTATTTCAACAGTAATAGATTGGTTAAGCAAATTATACGTCAACAATACAGCAGAAAATGGCTTCTAGCAATAGCGGCATAGGTGGTTTAAACCAATTTCCCTGCAGAGAACAACAAGGAAAACTAAATGAGAACCCCTGAATCTGTCTTGGGGCCTCAGAGAACCAGGAGAAGGAAGCCTAGAGGAAGACCAACACCTGGCTAACCCACCTAGCGGCACCTGTCAACTGAAAACTGCAGCTAAGAGGCTGATGGTGAGTACAGCCATGACAGACCCCCAGGGCTTAGGACACAAGACGCACAGCCCACCACGGAGAAGGGGCAGGTAAAGCATTCACCCCATAGGCTAGAGCTTAGGAGCAAAGGGAACTAAAATTGGAACAGCACCGATTAAAGCTCCAAATTGTTTCGACCCTTGATTTGATTGAGGTGACTGAGCAGGCCAGTGCCCATAGGCTAAGAAGCCGCCTGCTACTTCTGTAGTGAGTCCTCTGCAGGAAGATGACATCCAGAGTTTCTGAAACTCATCATATACAAAGTCGAACAATCAAAAAGAGCAGAGACAGTAAGACAAAACCTTATGGACAAAAGAAACAACAGAAAACAGCCTGCAGAGGATTCAGGTGATCAGCTTCCCGGAAACACAAGCTCCAAAGTGCCAAGACATGTGTACAGGAATTTCTGGAGAATGTTCTTGGGAGTCACTCCACATGAGGGTGAAGAGGTAGCACTGGGCGGAGCGGGAGGTGAACTGCCTCATGTCTGCATTGGAGGCCTGGGCCGGTGCAGTTCAGGCAAGATGGCTACATCTCTGTACCTGCACCACCTACCCACCTCCATCAGTCACTGGATGCAGGCTGTCCCTGGGGGTGTGACCTTAGGCAATATGGCTCTGTCCAGCCAACCGCAAATCCTGCAGCAATGCCCAACTGAGAGATATCAGCTGCCAACATTTTCACAAACCGCTGGATTTCCTGGAATTAAGATCTAAGCAGCATAGGACAGCATCAGTGTTAGGTATTAGATTTAGACTTCAAGAGTCAAGTGTTGAAAGCTTGGTCCTCCAAGTGGAGCTTCTAGGAAGCAATGGGATCCTGAGGGCTTTAACGTCATCATGGATTAATGCACTTAGAGACACAGCAGGATGGGGTGGGGGGAGCTCAGGAGACAGGCCCAGCTGGAGGAAGCAGGTCACGGGCTACAAGGGTATTTCTTGTCCCCAACCCCTTCTGCTCGTGCACTCTTTCTTCTTCACCACTGTCATGAGGTGAGCAGTTTGGCTCTACTACCCGCTCTGCCATGATGTTCTGCCTCATCTCATGCCCAGCAACAATAGAGCCAGTGGACCAGCACTGAAGCCATGACTTTCTTAGGTACTTGTCACAGCCAAGAAAAGTTAACATAATAAATTACACAACTGTGCTTACTACATTCAGTAATTACAAGACAAAATTAAGGATATCTGAGGCTTGTGCTACAGCTCAGCGGTCGAGTGCTTGCTTCACACATGCAAGGCACTGGCTTCGATCTTCAGCACCACACAAAAATACATACAGAAATTGTGTCCATCTACAACTAAAAAATAAATAAATAAATAAAAACATTAAGGATATCAGGTGAACTATCTGAGGCTTGACAGGGAAAGGCCATATACTGGGTGTTAGAGCTCTGACAGGACTTCAGGCTCATAAGCTCAAATCGAACTCCCAAATGACCCATGACAAGTCCCTAGAGCTCATGTTCTGCTGCCTCTCATGAGCACCCTAACACTATGCTTAAAACATGCACATCTAATCCCCAGAACCTGTGAATATGTTAACATGTGGCAAAGGGACTATGCAGGCTGAATAAGCCAAGGACCCCGAGAGTGGGATATTATGCTACAGCACTGAATCATGTGACTTCTTGAAATCAGAAAATCTTCTGGCTATAGTCGCGACACAGGACAGAACGGAAGGCAGCAGCAGGACTTGCGCAGCCCTTGCTGGCTCTGGAAGGCGGGAGGAAGAGCTGCGAGGAATGCTGGGTGGCTCCTACGAGCAGGAAGAGGCAGACTCTCCCCACACCTCCCCAAGTGAGGGAGACCCCTGATGCCTTGGCTTAGCCCAGCTGGGCTTCTGACCTACAGAGCCACAAAACTGTAAAATTATGCTACCTTAAGCCACTAAATTTGAGTTAGTTTGTTAAGGCAGCAGTGGAATTATCCTGCCTCACCCACTTCACTGAAGGTGCCACCCACTCAGTCCATGTCTTCTTTTCTCACGTGGAGCTAGAAAACACACAATGTTCTCCTTCCTCATCTGTCACAGCTGATTTCTATGAATTTTTCCTTTCAAAATCAGTAGAACAAATAATTTAACAGTTGTCCTGATCATTTAATCTGTCTGGTTTTGACTTGATTTCTATAACTAAAACAAAACCATGAGATCTGGGTATCTACTGCAAAGAATTCCAAGACAACAATCTCATGAACAATTCTTACAAAACACAGCATATTATATATATTTCTGCCCTTCCCAAAAAAGACAGCAGCACAAAAACTTCAACTACTGAACCACATTTCAATAAGACCAAGGAAACTGTGTGCTACTGGACACCTGGAAATGTCCCTACAACCTTTCCAAAGGCCCTTGCACCCACGGGCAATTCCAGTGCTCCCTCTTCCACAGACTTGGATGGACAGTTTTTTGAGCATTAAATCTCTTCGGGAAACTGATGAATTTATTGTGAATCTAAAGACCTCTGCCATGCAAGAATGCACATACATATGCAAAACAACTGGTGATATAATATCAGCAACACTTAGGAGCCTTCGAACTCTGATTTGAACACCTGGCTTAAAGAAAGTTGGCTCTGGTGAGGCAGAGGAAGTCACCTGCTGAGGAAGGCTGCTCAGAGGGCTGAAGCCCAGGTCAGTGGAGAAAAGATAGGACAGTTCCACACAATCAAGAGCACGGAGATCTTCATATGCAGGAACACGCTGCCACCAGATGATACAAGTCTAAATGTTCCCAAATCTAAGACCCAGGAGAGGACCCAGCTGAAAGGGAATGATTATTTTACATTAAGACTTTTCCAGGCTACGAGTCAGTGAGGAAGCTGATTGCATGTGCAGCCCCAGTGGAGGTGGGTGCAGGGAGATGCACCAGAGGCAGGAGGCAGAACCCCTGCCCTAAGGAGAGAGAGACTGGATAACACCAAGACAGACTATGCATGATTGAGTATCCAAGCCCTGCCCAGACCACAATGCAAGTTATACCCCAAGGCTTGACCTTAGCAGGCAGGGTTAAATGTCTTTGTTGTTTTACAATTGAAGAAAACCAAAAATAAGTAAAAGATATCAGTGGCCAATCCAAAATAGGAGGGTGACTCAGGAATTCAGGAGCTGGGCAAGTGGGAGAGAACCAGGCATTTGCCTCTTCAGTCAAAGCAGCTGAGACCGCCAGAACCAGACACCCTGAAAACAGCCAGGGCAGCACGGGCAGGGAGGGGTCCAATAGGTCTGTTTCAGAGGGAGCACGCTGCCAATTTTAGAAAAGCTTCAAAGTTAGATCCATCTCATTTGATCTCATACAAGGAAAGACAGTTTTAAAGAAACAAAAGACAGAAATCATTCTTATAAACAAATCAAGGTATATCTTAAAGTCAGTGAAATCCCATAAAACTTTAAGATCTTTCTTGTACATTAGGTAAAATCACAAAAGTAATATAATTCCAGTCATTCTGGTGACAGGTGTCTATAATTCTGTTTCTCTGATTAACTTAATGAGTCTGGTCATAATAACTGTTTTACGGGTATTCCAATGGTCCTATTCTAATAAGAACAATTCTTAAAGCGTAATAGGTGACAAAACTTTCCACATGTTGTTGTGCATTGTCCTCATAATTCAATGAAGTAGACAGAAGACAGGGCTAATGTCACTACTCAGTAGGTAAGGAAACTGAGGGCCAGAGAGGTGAAGTGACTTAATCCCTGGTACAAAACTACTGAAGAGGAAAAAGAAGTCAGACTCCAACCTTCGGAACTGTTCCCCTTCTTCATGGTGAAGCAGTAACTGGCCATGCAGAGGACGCACCTGGTGCGCGAGCACAGGTCACCACATGCTCCACATGTCTCCCCGGCTCCCATGAAGACAGAGCAGGGGTACTTGATAGTCATAGTTCTGTGCTGACACCAGTAAGAGGACTAGAAGTACTGAGCAGTCAGAATCACAGCAGGAACAGTCCTCGGAAACACTAGGGCAAGTTGGGGGAGGCCCATATACAGTAGAAGAACTACCAAGTGTACAAAAGTCCCTTGGGAAATTCAACATTGTATCCAGTTGCTTACCAGATTAAGCAAGTAAACAGTATCACTAGGACAGGTAGCGAATTATACCTAGTTATAATTCTTCATCCAAATTTTCCCACCAAGAGCCCTGGTCCTGACAGTTTAACACTACCCTAAATGGGGCATGGTGGCAAGGGGCTTCGGCTTTAATCCAAAGAGACAGGACAGAGTCAGTTTCACACTCATCTTCAATAAGCAGTCCTCCTCCAGAAACAGCCCTCTCCAGATGCTGCTCCCAAACCACCAGGGCGAGTCAGTAAGAGGAAGGGAGGGAATGACAAATGTACTTAGCACCTAACTGATGCAGTTCAAAAGAACAGCAGCAGAGCAGAGGTACAGCCCCACAGTAGAACACTTACCTGGCTTGCACAAGGTCCTGGGTTTGATGCCCAGCACCCGCAAAAAAATAAAAAAGTAATAGCTAAAAATTCCTCTCCAACCCTCCGAGACTCTGCCCACAGAAGCCACCCCTGCATCAACTCCCACAGGAGGAAATGAATCCACAGGGACAGGGCTGGCCGCTTTCTTCGCTGCTCTGTCCCAGGCACAGAAAAGAGTGCTTGGCACATAAGGAAAATAATAAGTACTTGTCAACTGCATGCATTTCCCAGCAAAATGTAAGTCACCAAAACTGATCTCATGAGAAAGTCACAAAGTTTGAGCAACTAGCTTCGGGAAATGAAAACAAGGACAACCCCAGTAGAGTGTCACCAGGCACAGGCAGTAGAGTGTCACCAGGTACAACCCGTAGAGTGTCACCAGACACAACCAGTAAAGTGTCACCAGGCACAACCAGTAAAGTGTCACCAGGCACAACCAGTGGAGTGTCACCAGGTACAAACAGTAGAGTGTCACCAGGTACAAACAGTAGAGTGGCAGCAGTGCACCCGCTGGGCCCCCAGAACCAGGCCCCCAGGTGCTCTTCCTGAGGCCCTCCCAGCCACAAAAATGACATGACAAATATGAAAAGGAAAGTTCCATGTAAGCTACTAGAAAGGGGAATCCAGCAGGGTGCCATTCCAGACCAGATGGAATTCTTCCTGGGAACTCAAAGGTGATCCGATATTCATTCACAAAGCTACTAATACGAGAAAAATCAAACGATCATATATGATCAATTCCATGGATGTAAAAAAATTTTTTAGAAAAGTCTTTTAAAAAACTGAATCTCGACTTGCCTTGCATTTGCCAAGCCCTAGGTTTAATCCCTAATTCCAAAAAAGAAGCCAAAAAGAGAGAACTCCACCAAAAAACTGAATCTCCACCCTCGATATTAAAACTCAAAAAGGCACACATCTGCGGATCTGCGCACAGGCCTTAGGGCACAGGCTTCCTCACCGACAACAGGCCTGGCCCGCCCGCCCAGCCAGCCACCTGCCCAGACTCCTCCCGTCAGAACCAACACTTGGCTTCTCCTTGGTAACAGTCTGCGGCTGCGTCCACTTCTTGGTTTAATGTATTTTACTTTTTTGGATACATTTTATTTATTTAGATACTGGGGATTGAACTCAGAAGCACTCAACCACTCAGCCACATCCCCAGTCCCATTTTGTATTTTATTGGAGACGGGGTCTCACTGAGTTGCTTAGTACCTTGCTATTGCTGAGGCTGGCTTTGAACTGTCTCAGCCTCCAGAGCCGCTGAGATTACATATGTGCGCCACTGCGCCCAGCTGGGCCTGAGTAGATTTTAAAAGACAGTTACCTCCCCTCCACCTCTTATGCCATTTCTTCCACAAATATATCTGGCATGCCTGAGGTCAGAGCCTATCGGTGATGTGCACATAATAGTACCTCAACAAACATTTGTATGCGCAGTCTCACGTCATCCAGCCTCACCTGGTGCACTTTCAGTCCCAAAGAGGTTTCACAGACTTCTGCTGTCCCATTCTGTCTGTCCCATTCAAAAGTAATCACAGTCAGTAGAAAAGTCTTCCTGACAACGAATTGGTCTACCTCCTTGGGAAGGAGGGTCAATGGAGCTAAACTAAAATCTATCCCAACAAGAGCATGTCAACTGTCATCCTCCAAACAACTACTAAGAAAATGTCTAGATGACAAGGGCTGAGGGCGGGAAGAGTGAAGCAGGACTCCGATTCCCACCAGGCCAGTCTAGGGCACCCAGGAAGGTGTGTGAGGGAACTGCCCAAGGCACTCAGCTGCTAGGGTCAGAGACGAAGAGCTCCCCGAGATGGAAACTCCTGATGATACACAATGTCCCAATAAGATGAGGAAACAAGAAAAACAGGAAACTGCAGGAAAGTGAAAAGCTGTTCAAGAAAAAACTGAAAGCATGTTACCCTATGAATCAACAGTCAATATTTCTATATTACTAGGAACCACAAACATCTGAATATGGACTTCAGGATATCGGTGGGAGTCTAAAAGGAGGCAAGGAACAGTGTGAAGAAAGCAAAAACTTCCCATGTCATGTGACTTCCAATCAACAGATTATGAAAAGTACATAATGCTTTTCATTTTTATGGTAAAAACCAGAAAATACAGTTTTTGAAAACATTGGAAGTGGTCATCTCAGGTAATAAGCTAAGCTAAGAAGGGAGGGTTTAGGAACCTGCTAATTTTATTCTGATTTACAGCAACTTGATTTCTTTTCTTTTTTTCACTACCGGGGATTGAACGCAGGGTGCTTTACCACTGAGCCACATCCCAGACCCTTTTTGTATTTTATTTAGAAAGAGGGTCACACTAAGTTGCTGAAGCTGGCTTTGAATTCAGGATCCCCCTGCCTCAGCCTGGGATTACAGGTGTGCACCACCAAACCCAGCCCTAATTTCTTAAATTACTTCTAACAATTACTTGGGTGTTTTAAAAATGTTAAATTGGCAAAAGTAAAAAAAGAACTAAAATCCTGAACACAAGTCAAAATCCTTTCCTATAAGCTAAAAGAGACCATAACACCAAAATGTTTCACAAACACTAATCTGGTCAACACTTTTCTATCCTAAAGACCTCTTTCTCTGCATTGGTCTTCTGCTAAGCAGAGTGTCTGAGACACAGTTCAGTGCTTGTTTTAGTCAGCTTCCTCGCAGTTGCAACTGAAAGATTTGACCAGAACAATTGTAGAGGAGGAAAAGTTTATTTGAGGGCTCACGGTTTCAGAGGTCTCAGTCCACAGACAGGAGGCTCCATTCCTTGGGGCTCTAGATGAGGCTGAACATCATGGCAGAAGAGTGTGGCAGAGGGAAGCAGCTCCCATGAAGATCAAGAAGCAGAGAGAAAGAAAGAAAGAGAGAGAGAGAGAGAGAGAGACACTCCACTCTACAGATCAAATTATATACCCCATAGCCATGCCCCTAATTATCCACTTCATCCAGCCACAAGGAACCTGCCTCCAGTTACCACTCCATTAATCCCATGAGGAATTAATTCTCTGATTAGGTTAAGGCTATACCCCAATCATTTCTCGGCCAAACCTTGCATGGTCTCACACGGGAGCTTTTGGGAACACCACACCTAAACAATAACAGTACTCAGTAATGCTTCTTAGGAATAAGTCTTGCACCTTACCTTCCATATGGAATTTACATTCAAGAATTCTGTCACGCTATAACTAGAACATTTACTGAACACTGAGTTCTAAGTGTTCGAATTAAATATGCTAACTCACTTAATGTTCCTAACGAGAACGAGGGATAAGGACTTGTTTTTCCATTTTATTGGCAAGGAAACCAAGGCCCAGGGATGCATAATTATTAAATGCTGGAGCCAGGATTTCAACCCCAGGCGTCCGGGCGGCATCCTTGCTTTCAGGACCTCATACCGCTGCCTCTCACAGTCAACTACCTGCAAGCAGAGATCACTCATATCTTGGGCACGCATTGCCACACACTCGTGTGCATGAAGCAGTGTATGCTTTTATTTCTCTGAATGCTTCCCTCGGAGCTTTATCGTCCCAGGAGCTCCGGCGCTTTCTGAACAGGTGAAAACCGTTGCGGGCTTCCCCGCCGCCCCGCGCATTCCCGCTGCACAGCCCTCGGGGCTCCCGAGGCTTTGCTGAGCACCTACTGTGCTCTCACGGTGCCCAGGCACCGGAGAGGTCCGGCTGGAGAGCAGCCGCAGCGGGAGCACGGGAGCAGGGCGACGAGCCCTGCCGGTCCCAGCTGGCCGGGCGCCGCGGTCCGGAGCCACGCTGGCCTCGGGAGGCCGGCAGGACACACGGTTCCGGGGCTGGAGGAGTCCCGCGTCGCCTTTGAGCACGCAGACGCAGTCCAGCCTTCGGGAACCGGACGCCTGCTGGCCAGCAGGTCTTGCGTGCCGCCGCGGTCAGAGGCTAAACCGCCCCCGCCTCAGGCCTCCGGCTCCAGGGCGCCCGAGCGCCGCACTAGGCCGCGCAGCACCTTCCGCGCTCCAAGTGGCCCACCTGGAACTCCAGCCCGTAGATCACCGGCGCATCGTCCTCCATGCTGCGGCGGGCGGCCCACCGTGCCGCTGACGCCGTCAGACCCTCACTAGAGGCAGCGCGTACCACCTCACCCGGGGCTCGCAACGCCCATTCATTCCCTGCCCGAGACAAACGACTCGGGTCCTGCACCTTTCCTGGCCCAGGCCGACTACCGTAGGGCTCACTTCCTGTTTATGCGGACGCGTCATCAATACGCTCCCAGCCTGCAGCCAATGGCCGCGGCGCGTGGCTCGTGCGCATGCCCACACGGGCTCCCGCGGCTCAGCTGCAGGGTCCCTGGACGGGAAGGCGGGGCTGGTCCCGTGTGTTGGGCGACTGGGCGTCTGGCTCATCTCAAGTCTGTTCTCTGGATGGAGCCCTCCCTGCACCTAACCTTAGATAGAGTGGCCTGAGCTGGGGCATCAGTACTTTACTGCCAAACGGCAGTCCCGAGTGTTGGGCCAGCGCCTTCCACTCCAGCGTAGGATCTTCGCGGCAGCCCGATGCGCAGCTCAGACACTCCCATTTTACAGTTAGACACTGCGAACTTGAGTCACCCCATCGCGATCGCACAGGTCGCCAGTGGAGAGCCAGAGTCCTCTCCCGCGGGCGCCCAGCCCTGCAAGGCCCAGGGCGTTCCAGCCCGGGATAGTGTGCTTGGAAGCCGCACTCGCGCCGGCAGAACTGGGCCGACCTTGCCGGGGATTAGGAGTCTGCTGGCAAGGCCGCGGAGGCTCCCGAGGTCGTGAGACATAAAGCTCGCTGTGGAGAGGCTGCCTTTAAGGTGCAGCGCGCCCAGAGCGCCCGCCTTGCGCTGGGCAGTACCCTAGGGAAAGGGCAGTGGCATTGCGTGGCATCTATAGATCGTGTTAAATAGAAGCCCCTTCGCTAACCCGGCCCCGGGGGTTCCAGGACCACACACCTCTACGATTTTTAGATTTTCCTTCCACTCCTCATTAGACTTAGTGACAAAACAGCTGGGTCTGGTTTTGCTTATTTGCGCCAGCACCATGCTTGGGTTCAGTGAGAAATCACGCCAGCAGGGGACCAGCCACAAGGACTGTATCCCACCTTGGCCGAGTTTAGCTTCGTACTTAGAATCCACCCCCGCCGTTATCGCTGCCATCGTTCTGGTCAGTGTTACTGCACAGTTCTTCAGGTGAATTATGGGAAACGGAGAGAACAAGCCAGCCACAAACTCCTAGAAATAAGTATTTTTAGAAAGTGTCTCCCTTTCGCCTCCTGCTCTGCCATAAGCTTTCGGGTTGCCCTGGTGTCGGAACTCGAACCCACTGTCGGGATTTCCGTCCACATTCCGGGGCCTATGGCGGCCGGCAAGTTCGCACCTCCAGCTGCCAAAGCGGGCCCGTGCCCCGCCCACCTCCGAGGAACCGGAAGTTCGGGAGCTTGGGGTCCGGGACCGCGGGTTCCTGAACTGAGCATGAGCGGAAGTGGACGCGCAGGCGCAGAAGTCGCGGGCCCCCGGAAGCTGTCACGGTTCCTATCGCCGCCTCCCCGACTTTGGTCTCCACAGACAAGCCCTGTCCCGGCCCCGGGCGGGTGGCAGGTGAGGACCAGCGTCCCTGCGGTCAGGAGGGGCGGGCCTGCGCGCAGACCCTGGCGTCCCCCGCCGCCCTGCCCTGGCTCTCCCGCGACCCGTGACGGTTTCTGCAGGGAAGCAGGCTTCGTGGTCCCGCAGCCCAGTCTCCTCACCTACGGATGCGGAGTGAGGGGGAGCCCAGCAGCTGTATCTGAGGATCGGATGGGCGGGTGGCCAGGCAACAGCAAGTGCCAATCAGTGTTGCCAGTTTCTGCTGTCAGCCGTCGGTGCTCCGTGAGCACGACCTTTCCCTTTTGCCCTTGCTGTTCTCAGTGTCTCACTTTCCCAGAATTAGGGAGACAGTATATATAGACAATTAGGGAGATAATATTATATTATAGACAATATTATAAATATAGAGCGGGGAAGAGAGTATTAGATTGGAGTGCCTTGGTAGGCCCCCATGGAGTCTTAAGGAATAAGTAGTATTTAAAAACTAAAACCTCACACATATTCGAATGGCTGTTATTAAAGAATATATTGGCAAGGATGTGGAGAAATCGGATCACTTGTGCATACCTATAGAAAAGTTTTGCAGTTCCTCAAGTAAAAATCCAATTACCATATGATGCAGTTCAGTTCTAGGGGGAATACCGAAAGGAATGGAGAGCAGGACCTGGAGAAGAGACTGGAATACCATGTTCATAGCAGCAGTATTCACTACAGCTGAAAGGTGGAAACCTCCAGTGTCCATTAACAGAGACAAATAGATAAATGGTGCTATAGGCGTGCAATGGAATATTATTCACCTATTTAAAGGAGATTTTGACACGTGCTACTTACAGCATAAATAAAACTTGAGGACATTATGGGAAGGAAGACACTCCAGTTACAAAAACAATTATTTTACAATTCCATTAATATGAGGTACCTAGTGGTTGCCTGGGGATGAGCATAAAGGGGATCATTTAACTAGATTTTTGGTTTTGCAAGAGGAAAGAATTCTGGAGATTGGGTACACTACAATGTATCTGTACTTAACTGTACACTTAAAAACTAGTTAAAATTGTATATCTTATATGTATTTTGCCACAATTAATTAATAAGTAAAAGACTGGAGAAAGAGGGACTGGGATTTTGGCTCAGTGCTAGAATGCTCACCTAGCACGTGCGAGGCCCTGGGTTCGATCCTCAGCACCACATAAAAATAAAATAAAGATATTGTGTCCAACTACAACTAAAAAATAAATATTAAATAAAAAGTCTGGAGAAAGAGATGTTTCTGATTTTGAACCATTTAAATATTTTACTAATAAGTATTCCTCCAATTAAAAAAAAAAACAAGACAAAAGTAGCTTTAAAATACCTGAATAGACAGGTGATAAGGTTAATTTATGATGTCTTTCTCCCAGGCAACATGGAGAGTGCTAAAGATGGTGACCACAGCATGACCAAAGAGTCTTCTCCAGAGGTGGGAGCCAAGAGCATCTCCAAGCAGGCAGCTCAGGAAGAGCAGGGGCAGCTTCTGTATCATGAGGAAACCATTGATCTTGGTGGAGATGAGTTTGGGTCTGAAGAGAATGTAACTGTGTCAGAAGATTCTAACAACTTTGCAGATAAGCTTAATGAGCACATGATGGAGAGTGTCCTTATTTCTGACTCTCCCAATAACAGCGAAGATGATGTGGGTGACCTTGGCTGTTTGCAGGATATTGTGGAGCCCATAGAAGACAACACTGATCACAGACTGGACAATATCACAGAAAAAGAAGAAATGGACATTCTAAGTAATGACAGTGAAATTGATGGAGATGACACACCTAGAGATGTTTCAGATATGACCCCTGATAGCAGAGCATCTTTGAAAGAAGACTCTACACAGGAAGAGGTGAAAGGCGTGCCCACTCTTGGGAACACTGGTGCAGAGGACTTGGTGCCCAGGGATGAAAATACTCACACAGAAGAGCAGGTGTCAGACATGTCTTCTAGTCAGTCCTCTTCTAAGGAAGAGCCTGTGCCCATGTGCACCATTTTTAGCCAATCAAATTCAGCTCCTTCCCAGCCACACTTGTTTCTGCATGATGGCTTCGAGTCTCAGATGGTGAAGTCTCCAAGTTTCAGCAGTGCGAGTGAGACCTCAGCCAAGACCCCTCCTCAGGTGGTCCAGCCCAGTCCAAGCCTGAGTAAATTTTTTGGAGATACAATCAACACTAATTCTTTGGCCTCTGACTTCTTTGATTCCTTCACCACTTCTACTTTCATTTCTGTCAGTAATCCCAACGCAGGCTCCTCACTTGCTACCCCTGTGGGAGAAGAGTCCCCGGATTCTGCTGACCCATCTTACTCTGCAGGGGTGGAAAGATCCGAATCAGGTGTTTCTACAGCTTCTCTGGAAATTCCTGAGTCTCCAAACCCTTTTTCACAGATGCAGGCGGTATTCGCAGGGAGTGATGACCCTTTTGCCACAGCCCTGAGCATGAGCGAGATGGACCGAAGGAATGATGCATGGATTCCCAGCCAAGGGACCAAAGATGTCCTGATCTCGGTAGCAACCCAGCAGTACAGCACTGTGTTTATAGACAAGGAGAACCTCACCATGCCAGGCCTGAAGTTTGACAACATTCAGGTAAGATGAGGAATATTTCTGTTTTCATATCTCTTCTCTTTGAATCTGTTTCTTTGAAATATGCATAACATCTTTCAAAGGTGGAAAAATACATATTCTTGAACAATTCTTAAGATTCTGATTATGAGAGCCTATGTTATTTTTCTCTATAGGTAATTAGGAACTCTGTTGAGTTCCTCAATACTATAATGTATTTAAGATACTACTTGTCATAGAAATAAATACTAGCAGGTAGATCATTATATAATGGTTCTCTGAAGTAGCTTTATTATATGTGTGATCAGTTAGGTCCTGACATTTGAATTCCAGTAAATGATAAATCCATTTCTTCTTTTAAAACATGGAAATTTTATTTGTATTACATATAACATGATTGAGGAAGAAGGAATTTTAGTAGAATTGTATTAGTTTGTTTTCTACTCTTATAGCAAAATACCTGACTCTGGGTCCTTTGTAAGAAAAAAAAAAAGGTTTATTTTGTTTAATTTAGAGGCTAAAAGTCCAAACAGCATGGCACTGGTTTTAGTAAAAGCTTTCCTTGGCAGTATCACATCATGGAAGGAGTCTGTGCAAGACACAGAGATTACATGACAAGCCAGAGAACAAGGAGGGAACAGTCTTGCTCTTTATAATAGCCCTCTGACAAAAACTAAGCAGGGTCCCATGAGAACTAATGAGGGCAGTGTCATGAAGGATCTGATTCCTCCCAGAGGCCCTCTCTCAGAGGCCTCACCACCTCTTAACATCACCTCAGTGGAGACCAAGCCTCCAGCACGTGAACCCGTGAGAACACATTCAAACTACATCCAAACCTTAGAACTGCATCCGAGCCTCGAGGACCACGTTCATCTCACAATGCAAAATGCAGAAATTCCATGCTTTGTAGTCCCAGTGTCTTGCCTCATCACTCAAAAGTCCAAGTCCGAGCTTTCGGAGACTTGCAGGAGTTTTCTGATGAATCACGGTCTCTGATTTCGGGGATATTTGGATGTGTGGGATCTGATTTCCTTGTTCACTGAAGCCTTGCTCCTCCTGGCCTGTACCCCAGGATGGCTTTAGTGTGTGCTTTTTCCTGTCTTCATAGGTCTGCTTGTGGCTTCCTGTGCCAGCAGTGGCTGGACCTTTAGCTCCCCCTTTTCAAACTCTGTTGTTGGTGCTTTGCTTCCCTGTACTTGAGCCTCAGTAGGAATCTGAAGGTTGCCCCAGAAAAGACTCAACCTAGTGGGGGGTTCCCAACAGCATTCCTTTGGAAGTGTGCAGAGGTGGCTCACTATGGTTGACAGAGGGCTGGGATGAGCATGTGACATATAGGGGATGGGCCCAAGGATGCTCAGAATCCTTCAGTGGGAGTTAAGTATCAAACAACAAAAATATCATCTTCCCAAAATGTAGGTTATTCTTGAGTTGAGAAATAGCTCTTTCAGTTGAACTGAAATTAGATTCAACATGGAGGTGCCATCTACACATTAGAGACCTCTGTGATGGGTCCTCCTTAGCATGGGCCTTGAGTTACTCATGCCCCAGTACAGAACCAGTAGAGGCTCTGGCCTCACAGAGCACCGCTGCATAAACATGGCCAGAGCCAAGCCTTCATTAAGTACTAAAGATGTGTCTTCCACACCTCCTGCAGTTCACAGTGGTTATTTTGGAAATCTCGTGGTAAGTATAGAGTTTGAACTCAGAATATTCTTGAAATACCTTTAACTTGGACATATAACAGACGTGCTAGATGTTTCCTCGTTCAGTGTCTCTTCAGTTGCATCTTATCCTTCGAAAAACTTCTCACTCTTGCAATAGAAAGAAAAGACTATTGAGATTTACTTTGAATGGAAATACAGTGCGTGTCTGTTGAGAACTGGGTCGGCATAACAAAGAAGAGTTTTGCTGTTGGTGCTCTGAACACCCAAGTTTTTAAGACGCCAACCAACCCTTTGTTGGATTTTTCTGATGATGAATTTCTCCCGACACTGTTAAAGTGATCTGTGTGCTAAATTAGCTTCCTATAACACTTATATTTGAGTTTCCCCTCAAATTTCTCCTCTATTAATATCTAATTAAAAGACCCCTTCTTATGGGAAAATTGTTTTTTAAAAATTGCATCTTTATTAGGTGACTTTTATAGCAGTCTAAGTTAAATTAGAGGCAGTAGAAGTAAATTTGTAAAACTTTCTCCAAGTATAGTAGCATCACACAAAGAGCATGTGCATTTTCAACTAATTGTAGTTACAGATGGCATTTGATCTTCTTAAAGAGTAAGTAAGAAATTTTAGGACCCAGAAAGGAATGAAAGTCAGAGAATTGTTGTATGAACCTTGTTCAGAAAAGAGACAGAGAGGAGATAAAAATAAAAGCGGAAGTTGGGTAGTGAAGGTTTTGCTCCTGGGCCACATCGCAGACCTCCTGTAAGGGCTTTGCCTCTTACAGGTCAAGAAACCTGGCAGGCAGCTTCAAACCTGGATGCCCCCCACTGCTTTCTCATCCTGTTCCGCTTTATTCTCCTTCCCCTCAGCCTTCCCAAAGCTTGGATTTGACAGGATTCTTTCAAGGAGCCCACAAGGTCTATGTCAAAACTCCTTGTTTAGACCACCAGAGTCCTTATGTCGGAAACCCTGAGGCCTCCAGAAAGCCAGAATGTCACTGACACTGTGTCGTCTTCAGTCCATCCGTGAGCTCAAAGCTTCCGAGGTGTGGACAGTATCTGTTGCTTGAGAAAGGTGACACAATTGGTGCATTCTTAGTGGGGTGCTGCGTCCCAGGCGTCCACTCTGCTGGGATCACTAAGGAAGAGGGCATGAGCCCAGCCCTGCCAGCCCAGACCAGGGGAGAAGTCTAATAGTAGACACTTTCCTTACTGTAACTCAGCAGAGGACCCAGCTGATTTCCACAGGTGCAATTGCCTAATGCAGCTGGTGCATGACACGGCCAGTACCCGAACTCAGAGTCGCTTTTCCCTGGTTCTGGGCCCTGTCTTATATAACGTAGCATTCCTGTCTACCATATAAATCTCTAATTCTGTTTCTCTCAGAAAGACTTTGTTTGGGCTAAAGAACTAGGAACCACCACTAATCATCAGAGAAGGGCAAATCAAAACCACAAAGGGTGTCACCTCATGCCTGTAAGAATGACTGTTACCAAAAAGACAAGAAATAGGAGTGTTGACAGGAATGCAGAGTAGTATATCCTTATGGAAAGCAGTGTACAAGGGTCTTCAGAAAATCAAAAAGGCAGGACCCACCAGTCATGCCTTTTGGCTGTTTCCAAAGGAATTGAAATCTGTATGTCGATAACTGCCTGCATCCTCATGTCCAGTGCAGCCTTATTCCTGATAGCCAAGACAGAGGGTCAAGCCTGGTGTCCATCTCTGGAGGAGTGGATAAAGCAGGTGTGGTGTGTACACACGATGGACTGTTATCCAGTCTTTAAAAAGAAGGAAATCCTATCATGTGTGACAACCTATATGGCCTTGGAAGACAAGAGGCTAAATGAAGCAGCCCAGAGAGAGAGACAATTACCCATAGTCGTTCTTGTGTGTGAATCTGGAAGGACTGAACTTGCAGTCCTTCTTGTGTGTGAATCTGGAAGAACTGAGCTTGCAGTCCTTCTTGTGTGTGAATCTGGAAGGACTGAACCTGTAGTCCTTCTTATGTGTGAATCTGGAAGAACTGAGCTTGCAGTCCTTCTTGTGTGTGAATCTGGAAGAACTGAACTTGCAGTCCTTCTTGTGTGTGAATCTGGAAGAACTGAACTTGCAGTCCTTCTTGTGTGTGAATCTGGAAGAACTGAACATGTAGTCCTTCTTGTGTGTGAATCTAGAAGAACTGAGCTTGCAGTCCTTCTTATATGTGGAATATAGAAGAACTGAACTTGTAGCTGGGAGTGCGGTTGTGGGTTCCAAGGCTGGAAGGGAGGGAGAAATGAGCTGCTGGTCAATGGGTTCGAAGCTTGAGTTATTCAGGGTGAGCAGGAGGACATCAAATGCATGTGCATGGTGACTAGTTGATAGTATTGTTTGTTTGAGCTCTTTGAGAGCAGATTTAAGTATCCTGATATCCCCAGCACACACATGAGCCATGACTGCAGGTGGCGATGGTGGCATTGACTGTGGTGGTCAGTACACACATGCGTGTATCAGAGCATCACATTGTATACCTTACATGTCAATTAAACATTTCTAATTTAAAAATAAAATTTCTTTTTAGCCACTTTAAAAACAGAACTAGGAATCAAATGTCTTAATTTTAGGCTTCAGAATGAGTATTTAGGAACCATAGGAGTTTCCCCAGTGTTCTAGAAATTGCCTAATACATAGACATTCTACCAAGCAATCTATGAACATAGAAAGAAGCTTGAATTGGAAGAATTGATCTCAATTGCTTGCTTTGCCAGTCATCTATGTAACCTAGTGAATTCGCTGAACATCTATAGCGTCTATTAGTAGAGCTGCAGACCAAGCTATACTAACAAAGAAAGCCCACGTTCCTGTGGCTGGAGCAGAACAGGCGTCATGTCCCTGGGGGAGGCTCAGTGGTGTGGGGCTGTGGGGGGCTCCAACGCCTCAACAGAGGCCAGGAAGCTCCTCCACCTGTCACATCTCCTCATCATCAGGAGGGGGACACAACAGTGTTCCTTTTGAGTTGCATTGCCTGAAGGACAGCATGTATCCACCTATGTCCCTCTGTCCCTTTGCTCAGAGCTTAGACACTTGGCCATACCAGCTGCCAGAAAGGTCACAAATAGAGTTATTAGTCAGGCTACAGTGTGCCCCAGCAAAACTGAGATGTTCTGTCCCTGAAGTGAAGTGAGATCAGAAATTGGTGCATGACCAATTTTCTAGCGTGAAAGCCCTCTGATTTCGTAGTTCAGAAGCTTTGAGCCGTTGCTGGTAAGTAACCTTTATGACTGCACCAGCAGGCAATTCCATTTTGTAAGGAAGTTCCAAGCCCATTTTCTAATAAATTGTGATACAAATTGTAGGTAAATTTTCAGACTAATCCACGGAAGACTATAATGTGAACTCACTATACAGAGCTAAAATCATTTACTCTCTCCATGTGTATGTGTATTCCTAAACTGAGGTGACCATGGCACACAAGTTTAAGGAACTGTGTTCCCACCTCCCTCATACCCACCAGAAAGAGGAGAGGAAGCTTCCCTGTGGATCTGGAGAGCTATGATGCTGCACCAGGGCTGGATTCAGCTAGAACTTGAGGGATTTCTTATAATCAGCAAAATGTTATGAGGTCTACTTTGTCCCAGACGAGGATGGGGACGTGGAGGAGACCCCATATGAATACCAGGATCTCACTCATGGTCTGACCATGGAGAATGACCCTGGGTTCCCTTGAGCAGATGTTACTGGTCCTCCCAGCTTGAGATGGTTGTGGACCTGCTACCCCACCTGCAATGCAAGTGATCCTGTCTTGATTTTGTGGCCAAGGATGAAACAGAACCTGGAGCAGCACACTCCGAGTGTAGGGGCCTTCTGTCAGCAACACCACAGAAACAGGTGGTTGGGTGGTGAGGTCCACACCAGAGCATGTCCTGGTGGACTTTCTCTCCACCTGCTTCACACGAGCTCCCTGTTGTTTGTTGTGGTGTTCCATTAGCTTTCCTGTGGCTGGAAGCTGGCTTTGGGCTGAGTGGAGAGATTTGGCCTTTGCCTGTCCCCTGCCCTCTGAGGGTATCCTCGTTGTAATGTCTTTGTTCAGTTCACCTGGGATACCTCAAGGCCTTTGTGCTCTGGGTCAGCACCCACAGCCTTCCAAATGCCCGAGCACAGTGTTGGGCTGGGCCTGCCTCGGGCATGTTGGAAAGTCAGAGCTGCTTCTCCTGCCACTAGTAGCTCTCCTAAGGCAGTAGCGCCTCCAGAAGGGAGAAGGTCAATCCAGAGTTCTGTCCACCACTGCTCTTTGTCTTGGCTGCCTGCGACCTCTCGTGATGCCTGCAGCAGTGGCTCAGCACTCTAGCGAGGTCATTAATGCTGACTCCTAGAAGCATCATGTCAGGCAGGCGGGCCTCAGCTCTCCCTTGGCCAGTACAGCTGCCCAAACAGTACTGAGAAAGGTGTGTGTGTTGCCACCGTTCTTTTAGCACAAGCCTGATGTGGCTACTTGTCCCCGTATGTCATTTGACTTGGTAGCTTGCAGCTCAGACAAGCTCTGCCTTTCTCCCATAGCTGCAGAGGATCACGTGGTTTAGGAACCCGAGTTGCCTGGTCCCTTTGCTCTGGTCAGTCCTGGGCTTCTTGCCAGCTGAGACTTCCGGCCATACTTAGTCCTGGTGCTTCCCCACCTCGTCTCCTCGCCCTTCCATGATTTCCCTTTAGAATGTCCCTGGGGTTTTACTGCAGTGTTCTCTAGCCTTGTCCAGATATGCATAATCAAAGGAGTCCACTTAGGAAACATTCTGAAAATGCCCGAGGGCAGAGGCAAAGGAGCATCCGAAAGTGTGCTCCCACCCTGCGAGCCCAGGCCTGGTGGGGAAGGCCACGAGGAGGTCTTCACTCGCCCTTGGCTTGGCTAGCATGGAAGAGAAGGTGGACCTCCTCAGCACCAGTGATAATTCTTCACTCTGACCAGGAGGCCTTCTGGATTCGCAGGCCAGGTGGAGAACAGGTAGGATTGGGCATAGCTCTTTTTAGGCCGTGACATGGTACTCAGTCCCCAGTAGTGTCATCTCACACTCCAGTGAGCCCATCACAGGAAGCCCTTCTGGCATGGCGTCACCTCTTGCTCAAGCCTGGTACACATAGTGGTGATTTACCATTTCCTCCTCAAGGTAAAGAGCAACTCTAAAAATGTACATTTTATTTAAATATATAATTGCAGTAATTTAGCTTCTTGTTAACTGAAGTTTTCCTTTATTAGAACCATTGTTGCTTCCTCCGTGAGCCCATGGAGTAAAAGCGGCTTTTAATTAGTTTCCTCACACCCTTTGCAGGGAGATGCAGTTAAAGACCTGATGCTTCGCTTCCTGGGTGAGAAAGCTGCGGCCAAGAGGCAGGTCTTGAATGCCAGCTCGGTGGAGCAGTCCTTCCTGGGCTTGAAGCAGCTCATTGTGAGTAGCAGTGCGCCTGAGGTTAGCATGCTCTGTGCTGTCCCACCTGCCGTCCTGCTGTTTTCCCCAGAAGCTGATTACTTGGATTATGTTACCAGAAGCACCTGTACATCGATAAAATTCTGTTGGATAGGTACAGATTCTGTGAAGCAAAAAGCATAGTATTAATATTCTGGTTGGTTTACATCCAGTTGCTTTAAAAGCCATTATTTTAAATGATCAAATGACTTGAAGCAGCACATTCTTAGATCAAATGTCTCATCAAATGTAACTAATACGTTTATCTGTATTAGTTATATAACAGATGAATGATTTTGTGCTCTTTTAAGTATACTTCATTTTCTCCATTTGGGATGGTAGGTTATTGTCTAATGGGTGGATTCCTAAACATTTTTCAATTTTGTCATGAACTCCTTAAGTCGATTTTTGAAATTCCTTAATACTGGTAACCACTGCCCATATGTTGGTTTCTTTCCAGCAAAAAGAACTTTAATTGTGTTGGTGTGCTTTCCGAGATTATCCAGGATAAGAAAATTGTGTGTGTGCAGTGCACGATTCATTAGGGATTCCCAAGGGAGCCTTGCAGTAAATGAACACTCTCAAACCCTGTTTCCTCTGCCCAGGGCCATGCTCATGCATTCTAGCGTTGCTCTGCAGGTTGTCCAGCTGGTCACCTGTGGTGGACACCTTGCTTCTGAGTCTGAGCACAGTCCCTGAAGGGCTATATTGAGGGAATTTGAAAAATTACCTGCTTTACTTGGGAACAAGAAGTCCATTCAGCTGCCCAAAAGCCCAGCTTTGCAATCCTGTCCTCATCCTGCCTGTGTTCAGTGGTGCGCTATCTGGAATATCTACTCTTTATTTTGGGGGACAACCTGAAAGATGAGCATTATTTCAACCTTTGAACGGGAGAGTGGGATGTCCTGCTTCACTTCACTTTTTTTAAGAGTTCTCTGTCTTGTCTTTCTTAATTGTAACTTTTCTTCAGTACTTGGCTTCTAACTTCACCTATTTTAAGCAAGTTTCAGTTACTAAAGATATAATAGGTGAGAGGGTTTGAGATTTATTGAAGATTTAACTTTGCAACCCATTTAAATCAGAAGTGAAGCCTGTGAACTTATAAATGAAAAGGAGAAAGAGGTCTTCTGTTTATTTGGGAGAAGCTCAAGATTCAGTCTCAACATAGAGGTGGCCAGCTTTGTGTTCACCAGGGTTACATAAATCACTTAGTTGCACAGAGACCTTTTGAAAAATCTTGGAATAAAATAATACCTGTCCTTTATCTTTCTTTTTTAAAATATTTTTATTGTAGATGGACACAATACCTTTATTTTTATTTATTTTTATGTGGTGCTGAGGATCAAACCCAGTGCTTCAACCACTGCTAGTCAAGTTCTCTACAACTGAGCCCCAGCCCCAGCCCTCTCCTTTTCTCATTTCATCAGCTCTACCTTTAGATCAGGATTTGAAAGTTAAGTGCATGACTTGTCCCCATTCTGCCAGAAATCAGTGACGCTTGAGAGGCAGAGTCCTGACCAAAACTATGGGGAGGAGGGAGCTTTTTATCTTTAACATTAACATTTAACAAAGTATCATGACTCTTTTTCCTAATGGGCAGGTTCTCTTGGATTCAGACACCTTTGTACACATCTTCATGTATAGTTCTATGACCTCCATCCCCTGTAGGGAGCCTTCCTGGTTTAGGAGGAATCCAGCTACCTGTTGCGATGACCAGGTCACCTGGAGCTGCCCTACATGGGCTGCAACTCCAGCTCTGACAGTGCAGCCCAGGATGGACCCAAGGTCACAAGGTAGCGGGCAGAGGCTGCCCCCATGCCAACGTCAGCAAGGACATGGCTCCCTGGGGCCTTGTCCTCTGGACACAATGCTCCAGCCTTTACTTCCTGATGTACTCTTGTCGGCACATCTCTTGTCTCCTGCAAGAGCCAGGAGAGGAAGCACTTAAAAAACCTCCTTCCAAAGCTCAGTTCTCATGTTCTTGCGCCTCGGTCTGGATGGTTCTCAATCATTCTCTTCCTTTGACCCCTGGTCTTTTGCTCAGAGGTCTTTTTTGGGTCTTGCCAAAAGAGCATGTTTTTGAGAATGCACTGGACCTTTGCAGTGCTCTTAGTTACTCTGGTCTGTCCTCCTGTATTACGTGGAACGTGGCAGGTCACTGGTGTCAGTGTCCAGAGCATAGGCAGAGCAAGGTTGTAAGAACTAAGGATCTGCCTAGCACTGGGACAGTCAGGAAGCATCTGTCACCCAGCTAAGCAGTTGATCTCCAGGGTCCAATATGGTTGGCCCTTGACAGGCACATAGCACTGCATCAGTAAGTACAGAAAGGACAGTAGGGGAGGAGAAGGGGAGTAGTGTATGAGTTTTGCTTTTCACAATTTTTAAAAAATTAATGTAGGCCTAAGGTTCTGACTTTGCAGATTAGAAAACTAAGACCTAGAAAAGTGGTTAGCCCAAGGAAACATCCCAGACCTCCTCCTTGTCACCAGTCACTAGTGCTGTCCACACTGGCTGTCCCTCTGCACTCTGCACAGAAAGACATCCCCCCATCACCAGTGCCCTCCCACTGCCCATCCCCCTGCACCCTGCATGGCCCAGATATGCCCCTGTCCCCGGTGCCATTTCCATGGCCCATGTGAACTGATCACACAAGTAGACCATTCCATGGGTGAAAAGTGGTGCTTCTTCTTCCCTTTATTAAATGGGCTGTAAAACCTTGCTGTAGTCCACCATCATAAGTAATAGTAACGAAGAGTGAGAAGCGTTTGAGGAATGGCCTCGCTTTATAGTAGTATTCCAACACTGCCACAGAGCTAGCGTCCACCGTAACTGATGTCCTCAGCACACTCACTGTCTTTCTGCCTTCTTTGATGATTCCTGGTATTAGTAAATACACATAATAGCTCAGATTTTTTCGATGCATTGAAAATACTTAAAGCTGTTACAGATTTTTTACTGAGGGTCCTAACTGGAGAACTGATTTAAGTGGAAACTATATTCATTACAAAATCATTACTTTGCCCTTTTAATTATGTCCTAAAATAATTCCCATGGTCTAAGGCTAGGAAAGAGCTTCCAAATGTGTGTTCCTCAGTAATGTCGGTATGTTCCAGGGCTGTCATTCTCGGGGAGTGAATGTCACAGCCTGAGGAGGAAGACACTTCAGTTTCTTTAATGGAATCGTAGGTACAGTTGATTCCCTTTGAGTTTGAAATGGAGAAAAGCCATGTACCTTCTGTGTTACTTAAGTGATTTTTATTGGACTAATTTTCTTATTTTTTGGAAGTTGTAAAGTATAATTGTTCAGTTTTTCAAATACAGTCTATATCTTATTTCCTAGTTTTAGAAAAGTAATATTTATTTAAATTTAGGCACTTTTATCCTATCAAGACAACTTCATCGTCAGAGTTCTGCTGTCATATGCAGTAATTACAAGATTTTCATAATATTTTCTCCATGCAACCTAAAGTTTTATGTGGAACACTTTAAATTCTAAAGGGTAATTTTTTCACCAAGTATTTCTGCTGTCTGACATTAAAAATGTAGAAGAACGACCAGGAGGGGAAGGTGGAGAACAGTGCAGTAAAAATAGCAAAGACACATGGAGCAAATAAGTAACTAGAATTTCAAGCCACAGCAGCACACTCCTGCCCTGGCCCTCTGGGTAGTGCAGTTAGGTCCCTCCTACGTCCTTACACCCTGTAAGGACTCTGTCCGGACTCCTGCCTGCCCTTGGGTCTCCTCGCCCCTCCAGCACAGTCCTGCCTGAAACTTCAGGAGAGTTTGCCTAGAGCCGGGCACAGGCCAGCATACTTTCCTCTCCGCCTTTCCTCATTAACAAAGAGGCCACCTCTCATGCATGTCCCAAAATCAGAAGACCAAGGCCATGGGTTGGGTAAAATGAATCCCCCAACACGGGTACTTGGTGTGCACAGCCAGGGAAATGTCCACCCTATTGCGGTTGGGAGGAGGGAAATTAAGCGAGGCGCTCTTGTCTGCTGGCAGCAGGACGAAGGCCAGGGTGGTCACAGCCTTAGTTTCCCACACAGTCATCAGCTCAAGAAAGAACAGCACACAGGCATCAACACAGCAGCACCACCGACACACGCTTGTGCAGATCAACACAGGAATTACTGGTTATTAAGAAAAGAATGAACTAATCCATATTCAGTGGCCCTGACTTATGGAGTAATTATATGGGGAAAAATAAGTCTCTAAACCAAAGCTTTTTTGTTTGTTGGTTTTTTGGCACTGGGAATTGAACCTAGGATGCATTACCACTGAGCCACATCCCCATCCCTTTTTATTTTTTATTTTTTTGTTTTGTTTTGTTTTGTTTTGAGATAGGTCTCACTAAGTTGCTTAGGTCCTCACTAAGTTGCTGAGGCTGTCTTTGAACTTGTGATCCTCCTGTCTCAGCCTCCTAAGTCACTAGGATCAAAACTTTTTAATTTCATAAAATTGAATTTTAGTGTATCAGGATAGAAAAGCATTTCTTAAACAAGGTCCAAAAATTTAAACCTTGAAGGAAAAGATTAATAAATTTGCTACTTTGAATAATTCTAAAACGTGTGTACAATGAAAACACCATGAACAACAGTTAAAAAAGGAGCAAGGGATGGGAGAAGATGCTTGAAGTTCTTGTGACTGACAGATTTGTATCCAGGATACAGAAAACTTCCTTCAATTAATAAGGAAAAGAAAGAGCCCCGTAGAGAAACAGAGAAGAGATCTGAAGAGGCAATTACTAGAAGCCAGACAGCCAGTGAACATGGGAAGTGCTCAGCCTCTCTTCTTGTTAAAGAAGTGTAAACACAACAAGAATGTCGCGCGTTCCAGCCCAGCAAGTTGGCAGCACCAGTTGGCAAGGGAGGGCAGCGTGCGTTGCTGGCAGGAGTGTGACGACCATACGCTTTGCAGATCAAGTTGACAGTGGCTACCCAAACGAGTGCCTAGTGTGACCTTTGCTCCAACTGTCCCAC